AGCTCCCATGTCAGAGGATGAAGAGAGAACATCCAGTTAGTCACAGTCAGAGAGGCAGGACTACACTGAAAAAAAGCAGAGAATGAACATCTATAAAAAAAGTTGTTGATGGCAGCAGGACAGCTGATATTTCTCTCAAGGATGGTGTCACAGCCAAACAGGCTAGCATTATAGATTTAACTAACAAATTCTGCAGAGAGGGAGAATAGATAGAATGAAGCAAAATTATTAGAAATGGGACCCTATGTCCTCCAGCAGTCTAAGCCTATAGAGCATAACTATAGAGATAGCTCAGGATAACCTGAGCCACTCTAACTATGAGCTTTATAAAGCAACCAAATTATTTTGAAGAAAGCCAGAAATCATTCATTCCTCTGGGTAGGGTAGGGCATGTTTATATTTAAGGTCATCTTTTTAGGTGTACCAATATATTCCTTCTGAATGAAAGTAATGCAGTATTGTAAAGGTAGGCTTTGTATCACAGGTAGAATGTATTTTTAAGATATAGCTAGGCTACATAGAACTACATGAGGTATAATTTGACAAAAGTAAAGGTTAAAAACGTATTTTTGTCAGTAAGTTTTTTCTTCTAAAGTTTGCCTAAAACTGAGAAGCACATGAAAGACTAAGGGACTGACGTTCTCTCCGATCTGATTTTTCTTTCCCCCAGCTGTCCCACCAGGGAGGCTGAAATCCAATCTGAGTTGTTAAAAACAGGCTCCATCACAGCCTTCAGCCTGTGCTAGCATCCACCCGGAGGGGACGGTTTGTCCCCAGGCTTTAATTCAATTCCCTACCTCATTGCTCTCGCCAGCAAGTTTATTGTTGCTCCGCTGTATGAGTTATAGAAATAGCTCAAGCGGTACTCTTCCAGGTGGCAGCTTTGATGGCTTGCAGGGACGTCTCTGAGAAGCCATAGCTAAGTGAGCTGCTTCCACAGCAACACTGGGAGGGAAGATGCAGACATGGATCTGGGTCTTCACTCATGATATTCTCTGCTGCTAATTCATTTACATCCAAAACTCTTTTTTCCAGTTTTGCCTTATGAACCTCACTCTAGCATAATCCTCATTTGTTTACACGTAATTCTCGCCCTCATCCTCCACCTGGAGCAGTTTATTACTGTGACATGCTTTTTTCCTGTCTCCCTCCTTTTTTATTGGGTGTTGTGTGTTTGCTATTGGTTCATCCATCATTTTGAACTGTGGGTTGTAGAACTGTGGTTGAAAAAGGTGATTATAGCTTCCATGGGGAGTTTACAGCCGTGCACAGAATAGTAATCTTCTTCTGAAGAGCACTTATCTTCTCTCAACATTTTCCAAGTTTTAAATCTAAACTCTTCACATTATTACACTCTGCAATTACGAGGACCGTTCACTGTTAATTTGCCAATTTAGGGAATGACAGAGCCGTTTCAGATCAGAACTTGTTCTGGAAGTGTTATTGAGCTGATTTGTAAACCTCTGAGTTGTTTATGAACCATTTGTGTATCAGCAATTCAAATTTGAAATTTTTAAGTTTCCCAAAACTCTAAAATCATATAATGGGACCCTAAGTGGACTGCTGTTGACGTTACAGTGCATGGTATCACCAGGTGTCCGATGAACGTGTGAAGAAGTGTACAGGTCAAATTAGGATACTAGAGAATGAAGAAATTGAAAGTCCTGGGTGAAGTTCTGATCTCAGTGAGATGCTGTTGTATGACCTAAAATGGGCTGCAAGTAGAAGAATCCAAAAGTGAAAAGTCATTAAAGAGGTTTTATATGGCTACAAGGAGAGTTTCTTTGAAGCTTTTCAATAAAACCAATGCTTTAAAAATTTGGATATCCTATTTGTCATTATATTTTCTAATGCTTGGAAGATCTGTTTGTGTTCAATGTTTGTGTCAGGATTTGTTTGTGGATTGAGGACCCAAAAGCAGAGGCAGGCAGACAGAGGGGAATTTTTTGTAGATTTAATGATAAATACTGAAAAAAAGTCCAAAGCCACAGGCAACAGGAATCCAAAATCCAAATGAAAACTAAGTCCAAAAACAAACGAGAAACCAGGAGTCCAAAAATTCAAAGATCTAAAAAAACATGAAAACACAAGTCAAACGTTATCAAAAACCTACTCAGAGTTGAAAAAAGTTGGAAGAAGACTGACAAGGTTAGACGAGGACCCAGCAAAGAGGAACTGAAGAGAGAGGGCTTTTAAAGGAGACAAAGACAAAGAGAGGGCTGATGAGAAGATTGGAAACAGGTGAGGACAGAGCAGAAATAAAACAGGAGCTAGGGAGAAAGGAGAACACAAGAGGGCAGCAGAGGGCAACAAATGAAAAACCTTGAAGACTGGAAATTACAAAAAATAATAATAATTAAACCACTGGGACTATAAAACATGGAGACTCAAAAGAAAACATAACAGAACCAAGACTAGGACAGTAACTGAGAAAAACAATAAACTAAGAATTAAACCATAAAAACTAGGAAACAAGGAGAAAAGCAAAACTGGTTACTCAGAAGAAAAAAATGAGAGATAACAGAAACCTAACAGTTTGCTATTGAAGAAAAACACAATTTTTTGTTGTAATTCCAGCTGGTTTCCCTTAGATAACATAAATCAGATCAGACATCGATATATGAACTAAACATCCAAAGAGAACTAGACTGAGGTGAATGACTAATTTTTCTTAACAGTCGGATGATACTGTCTATTTTGCTGGCAGTTTTTTTCTGTAAATCTCTTCTCCAAACCTCTTCTATCTGTGTCAAAGCACACAGGTTTCACCCGTGGATTACAATTAACTCACTTAGGAGGTTGGTTTTAATGTTGGTATATGAATTTCAATTAATCTCCCTGACATTTAAATGAGAACTGAGACTCATCACAGCAACCAGACTATAAATGGGAATAAGCCGATACGGGCCTTTAGGAACTGGCAGCGTTCCCTGGTGTTTCCTGCCAGCCTGGCTGCAGACCCTGAGCTTGTGAAACCAATTCTGATAAAAAGGCTTTCCTTTTGCACTTCTAAGAATAATAAAAGTATGGATTGCGGTAAAGCTTAGTTTGCTCCCATTAAACAAAGTACCATAATATAAAAATGTTATGTCAAGATCACTTGACATCATCTTACTTTGACGTCTTGATGTTCAGGAAAGCTCAACATCTCAGTAGTAGGGATGACAGCTGTTCACATTTGAAGTGATACCAAGAAGTTCTTTGCTTCAGTCAGCAGTTATTTATGGCATTAAAAGGGCAGGGAATCATGTTGTATTATGTGCTATTTGTTATAACAGCAGTATTGCTATTGCTATACGATATTGGTTCAAATCGGTGAATCCATAGTCTGTTGCTAAAGATAAACATTGGTTGTTTTGAAGTTGATCTTTGTTGTTGTCTGTAAAAACATTTAGGCAAGAAGTTGAAGATTTTTTAGTGAAAATGAGCTAATTGATTTTAACATGGGTAGTCTAGATAGGGGAGAACAGGAGCCGCTGCTACTGTAGAAGTAGAGCTTGGAGCTGTGCTTAAGACAGAATACTAAATCAGTTTCTTTTCTACTTTTTTATGTAAACGGACCACAGAGTTTGTAACCTGCAGCTCTTTGAGCTCCTTTGCTCATTTTATATGTACAGTAATGATGAACTGTAGCTCTATTGTTGTTTTTTATTCTATTCCTTCCATTCCAGTGAGGAATAAATGGTCCCATCCTGCCCTCCTGATAAATGTAGCGTAGAACTACTACAGCACTTTACTGTCAAATGTTTTCTGTGACCCTAATCTGGTCAAACAACTGTAGACATCGAGGATGTAGTAGGAAAACTTAAAACTGAATTTAGACATCACTTTTTACAGTCTTTTAAACGTATCTAGAAATCAGATTATGGTGCTATGAACATAAAGTATGAGAGTTCCTGTAATATCTGGCGGTATCAAGCATGGATTTCATCTATACTGCTTAGAGATCTCAGCAGATTGTTAGTTGATGGATTTACCCCAATGCTCAGTGCTTATGTCATTCCCTTTTTCAGCACTGTTTTACTTAAAAAATCCCTTTCCTTTCTTCTCAGATACTTTTGCCAGTAAGGTCGCAGCCATCCAGGACCAGTACGCCGACGCCTCCATTGGAAACGTCACTGGCTCCAACGCCGTCAACGTCTTCTTGGGCATTGGTGTGGCGTGGACCATCGCTGCCCTCGCCTGGCGCTCTAAGGGCGAGCCTTTTAGGGTGGACCCGGGAAACCTGGCCTTTTCTGTCACCCTCTTCACCATCATGGCTGTGTTGTGCGTCCTAACCCTTCTCTACCGCCGCCGGCCAACCGTGGCTGGAGGCGAGCTGGGTGGGCCGCGGACTTGCAAGTTGCTAACATCACTGCTGTTCGTCTCGATGTGGCTGATTTACATCCTTTTGGCTTCCATGGAGGCCTACTGCCATTTACCAGGGTTTTAGAGGCAGGAAGATACAGACCTAATGCTGGTTTTAAGGAGGTGGAAGACCTTAAAACCCTCTCTGAAAAGGGATTTAATGTCATTCAATTCTATATTTTCCTTAAATAAAATGAGTGTACATCCTCATGAGAAAGGTTAACTCCCTCCTACAACGTTGAGGCTAATTATTCTTGTCTTTGAACCATAAACACCCTCCAGTGTGTCAAGGAAAACCTTGAAACAGTGATTGTTTTATCACCAGAGGATTGCTGTTCACTTTAAAGCCGAAACCAGCTCCAGAGGAGATAATCAGCAGAGTTTTAAAGAAAAACAAAGCAGAGTTGAGAGGATGAAGGTCGAAGATATATCTACAGCAGTCACCTACAAAACCAGAAAAGAAAAAGACTTGCGGCAGCAGAATAAAAAAAGGGACTAAAGAGGTTAGAGGAGATAAACTGAGCAGCTGGAAACCTCACCAACCTTTCCCTCCACCCTCCGTCTTTACAGCACCTTGCAAAATGCATACCCATTGAATCTTTTTTTCACATTTTCTCACATTACGATATTTCTCACAAAACTTCAACCCCTTATATTTTTTATATGACTGAAGTCAAAGGAAAAAACAAATCTCAGCGTTTACATTTTGGCATAAAGATATTTGAAAAGTGTGGCATGCATTTGTATTCACACTCATTGATAAATACTGTGCAGAACAATAATAAGCTGCAATTACCATAGATAAAACCTACTCGTAATAAATGCAGAGCATCCATAGACAACAGATCCAAGATTAGGTTTAGCTGTGCCCTTGGACTTGGCAGTCTTAACAAGAACAACAAAATTATTATTTTTATCCTCCACCATTAACTTCTTGGCTGCTTCTCTGATTGATGTAATCCATCCTGATGACGGCCTTGATTCAAATGAAACAAATGCATAGCACACTTTAGAGATAATTATGTTTAAAAGGAATTAAATCCATGCATCAATAATAATCTATTTTGTTGTTCTATGGCATTAAATCCCACTAAAACACACAAAGTTTACACCTGTAATGGGATAAAGTGTAAAAAAGTTCAAGAGGTATGAATAGTTGCACTGTACTGGATCCTCCAGTCATTATTGATGAACTCTATCTTTACTTCTAACATTAATCGCCTTTTTCTCCTCCATACACTCAAAATTGCTGGGCCAGGGGGAGTTGCTGCACTATAACCTGCCAGCGAGGTAATAAATTAACCATCCTCTTTCCCCCCCCCTTATTCAATGATACACTGTGCAAAATGATGTCTCATTATACGAACCTTCCTCTCCTGACTCATGCCCTCACCTGCCTTATGTTCCCCCTCCCAGCCGTACGTTTATGTGTCCAAAAGGAAAACTCTTGACATTGTGAAAGTCACCACCATTAAACCCCCCTTCCCCATCAATGCCAAGCCCATCCCCACAACACATTTTCTACTCTATTCAATGGCGTCACGTGTTGATGTTGTTATCGTGCAATTGTAAAAACAACAACAACGAATATATGAATACAGTGTGAGAGAAGATGAGAAAGAGACAAGAGTTGGATATAAAACATATAAGGATGTAAAAAAAAAAAAAAAAAGTGTTGTGCGCTACACATTGTGAAGTAAAAATGTTTACACTTTGACAAAGAATCTTGAACAACAATAGCCAGTCGGGGATTTTCCAAACACCCCAAGGACCAAACCATCATGCCAATTGCAAAAGTGACAACTGTGAAGGCAACGGTGTTGAAAAATCTAAACTTCAACCATAACCAGTGTTTCTATTTGCACGTTTATCAAAAACGTGCCATGTTGTGCGTGGGACATTACCGATGTTTTATGTATGTGCAGCCCCTCCATCTTTGTGGGAAACATTCTCCGAGAACATGAACGTGTAAAGAGAAAAATAATCTGAGAAAGTTAGAGGGAAATATAAGGCAGCTGTTTGTTCTGCATCATCAAGTTTCTTTGTGCAACAAAAAAAAAAAAAATCATTTGTCACAAATCACTTACTAAAACCTTTTTAATTGTGCAGTTTTGCTTTAAATTCCCCAACGTGCCGGCAGCTGTGCTGAGTACAACACTACAATTAAACTTGCTAAGTGATCTGCTGCGTTTGATGGGCGAATTTGTTTGTTTTGCTCCTGTGAAGTTTTTTAAGCAACATTTTTCATTTCATGTCAAATTAACTGTTCTGACGTCCATGTCTGTCTGATTAAAAAGTATTAAAGCCCAGATTTTAAGATTGTGTTTTGCCAAGACGCATGACGAACTGGACAGATGGGATGGCATATGGTTTGTCAGTGTTGATTATTCATAAATTCATTCCTTTTTGTTAAACTGCAAAAATCGTCCTGCCGAGGAAGCACATGAAGAACTGCAAAGAAATAAGGCAGTTATTGCAACTTTGGTAAATGTGAACCTTTTATCCACTCATATCAGCAGTTTTTTCACTGTGTGTATTGACCAGAACCAGCAAAGCTTTTATAAAACCACCACAAACAGTGATCAGCGAGTATAAAAGCATATACTACAACCCATTCCCTATAATTGGACAATTTTCTCCTAGTGTCTGAAAGCAGGGAAGTCACAATAAACTCCCAATTATTCTAAATTTAAATGTAAAATCAGAGTGAGTTTTTGCTTTTATGCAGTAGGGTTTAAACACAGAAACATTTTTGAACTATAACCTGCCAGCGATTATAACTGTAAGCTATACTGTATATAAACTAAGGCTGCAACTAACGATTATTTTCCAAATTGATTAATCTGTCAGTTATTTTTTTGATTAAAAATCGAATAGCAAAAGTTTTTTTAAGGAACAATGAAACAAAAAATTTTCCACTTGTGGAGTTCTGGATAGAGCATACTGACAGACGAAAACTTTTTTTAAATCTTAAATCCAAAATGTTTATATATTTTTTTTAC